GCTCACTTTGTAGCCCAGGCTGGTCTTGAACTCACAACAATCCTGTTTCAGCCTCCAGAGTGCTGGGATTACAGGCGGGCACCTCTATGTCTGGCAAGAAAAACAACTAAACTGGTTTTTTGTTTTGATTTGTTTTGTTTTTTGGTCTTTTTGAGACAGGGTTTTGCTATGCAGTTCAGGCTGGCCTTGAGCTCACTTTGTAATCCTGGCTGGTCTCGAACTCGCAATGATCCTCCTGCCTCAGCCTGTAATAACAGGCATGTGCCACTGTGCCCAGGTAAACCAGTATCTTAATGTTTTCTAAACACCTGATTTTACGTTTGTACCCATTATAGTCTGTTATTACAAGTGGATTTAATAACACACCACACTTCAACATTGGCCATATGAAAAAAGACTGCAATCTAGAGAGCCATTTCCGCATCTTCATCCCTTTTACTCATTTACATGTATGCATAATGCCTAAAGTTTTTTTTTTGTACTGGGAATTGAACTCAGGACCTCACACTTGCCAGGCAGGCACTGTGCCGCTGAGCTACATCCCTGGCTTTTAAGGTTTTTGTGTGATGTGAAGCTAGAAGAGCGGAGGTGGGTGGGGGGGAGTGCTTTGCATATTAGTTCCAGTCTTAGGTCTGCCTGCTGTCGTTTTCTCTTGATAGCTGAGAGGAATGGGCTCCAGGGGTACCAAAGCCCACAGGCGCTCCAGGTCCTTATATAAAGTGGTGTCTGCTAATAACCTACACATACCATCTCTAATACTTGGGATCATCTGTATATTACTTTGAATGGCTAATACAATGTAAACGCCAGCTAAGCAGTTGTTACACTGTGCATTTTAGGGAATACAAGTGCAAGAACGTGTTCAACATAGATGCTTTTTTTTTTTTTTTTAATATTTATCAGCAGCTAGCTGAATCCACGGGCCTAGAAGCCACAGATACGGGGGATGCCTGTCCTAGTTTACCGACCTGTGCGTCGTTTTCTGCAGGTCTGAACAGGCGCTGAGCGGATACTCTCGGGTTGTATGTAGGGATGAAAGAAGTTGACCCACAGACAGGTGCTGACGGTCACTGGCACACAGAGCTCTTGTTCGCCTTTAGTTATACCACGCATGGGTGCTTCGCATTGATACAGATTTTTTTAGATGTTTTTGTTAGAGATGTTTGTTAAAGTTCTACTGGATTTTAATTTTGAGTAGTTGTTTTAACTCTTCTTAAAATGTTGATTTTGTACTGAGTCTAATAGCAGAATGCCGTGACGACTTGGGGACGCAGGCTAAGGGCTGCACGAAGTAGGAGCTGGGTGGACAGGGGAAGCCCTTTGGGTAAGCAGCCAGGAACACAAAGGGCAGGCCGGTGTGGAGAAGGCCCGCCCCGCCCTGGCCGTCCTTTGCCGGCCGCTGCTCCTCAGGCGTTCGCCGTGTACATACCAACGATGTCCGGATGAAATAAAAATGTATGGAACTTGGAATCAGTTTTGTGGCTGCTAAAAATTAAATGTAGAGACTGTAACCTTCTTCATTCCTTTCCCCCGCAGTGTTTGAAAGACGTGTGGTGATTCTGAAGCCACCCGATAAGAAAACTAGCGACTTCAGGCGAAGTTTGTCTACACTCAGGCTGCAGTATTTTCAGCAAACACGATTAGACGGTGGACCTGTGCCTTACCTTTTGGTGGAGTGAGAAACTGGAGCCAGTGCAGCCAAATCCCTACAGCAAGCAGCACGCAGCATACCTGGCTCCTGGATGACTGCGAACCGGCATTTAAAATGTGAATTTGAAATCAGATGTCTCTATTACTTCCAGCTAAGGGGGCATCGTAGGTGTTTCCTAAGTTTAAAAAGTCTTGGATTGAAAAATTCTCCACTAGTGTCTACCGACTCCACCATGAAGTCTGACAAGGAAGCTCCACTTTATGTACTTTAGTTCCTTTGCCTCCGCCGCCCCATCTTCTGCACGCTCCTGCCCTCTTCTTCTGCACTCTCCTGCCTCTTGCTTTAGCAATTCAAGCGTAAGACCGTGGACTACTTAAATCGCAGTTTAAGAAAAGAAATAAAAGAGCCAGGTGTGGTGGCGCATGCTTGCGATCCCAGCACCCAGGGAGGCTGGGGCAGGAGGATTGCCCTGAGTTCAAGGCCAGCTTGGGCTATATAGCGAGACCATGTCTGAAAAAACTTGAAAAAAAAAAAAAAAAAAAGGAAATCCAATATTTTCCCAATCTCTTGGCCTTCTTGATGTCTCAAAATGCTTTTAGAAACACCCACAGTGGGCTGAAGGTACAGCTCAGTGGTGGAGTGCTCGCCGGTCACGCACAAAGCCCTGGGTTCCATCCCCAGCACCACAGAAACAAAACAGCGGATGCTCAACTGGAAGCAGTGGGATTCCACCCACAACACGTAGCCAACAGCTTTGGATCTTTTGCTCACCAAGTACCAGCTGTAAATAAGGACGAAGTAGGGGCCAAAATGCAAAACCAAAAATGAAGCAGCTTCGTGTAGTTAGCAATTTTAGTTTGAACTGTAACTGAATATTGTGGCTTCATATGTATTATTTTATACTGTACTTTTTTCTCTGTTCATAAAAGAAACCCACTAGTTTTTAATGCAAGAGAAATAAGACTATTCGTGTATTCTAGAAAGCAACACACTACACTGCAGCAAATGCTTGTATATATTCAAATAGCCTTAAACCTTTCTCTCCCGTGTCATCACTGTCAAATAATTAAAGCTTTCAAAAGCATAGGTCTGTAGTCAGCACGCTAGACGGAGGGGTCGGACGCTGACCCGGTAGAGCAGGTACCGACACCGTCAGTGTGTAGCACTGTTTAGCTATGTTTAAGCTTCAAAAGTGCAATATTAGACACTAGCTAGTACTGCTGCCTCGTGTGACTCTGAAAAGGAAGACGGGATTTGATTCAGGAGACATACTTGTTTGTTACTCATGTCCCCAGCTTGGATCCAATGCCGTGCAGATTTTTGCAGCTGCTATTTTTCCTTCACATTACTTTGATGAACACCTTGACCGGAGAGCCAAATTGACCCTCTGTCCCTGACCAGCAGCGCCCATTTAACTGCAGAGGGGAAAGCCACCTGTCTGTGTGTGAGAATTGGTGAGAACTGGCACTTAAGATCAGAAAGAAAACTCGTGGTACTTCGTGCCTTAGGACGCTCTGCCCAAGCTCCGAAAGACTGCTAGGCAGTAATACTGCAATACAGCTGAGTTTCGTAGAATTGTTACGTTTGATAATAAAACTTGCCTGCTTAATCTCAATGCTTGCAGCCTTGTTTTTCGAAGAATTATCCTGGTGGAAGGGTGTGGGTAAACTGTCTCTTATTTGTTAGGTTTTTCTAAGTTTACCATAAGTGTGGTAATCATAAAGCTGTCCATGCTGGGTACAACCCCAGCTACTGTAGAACCTGAAGAAGGATCAAGACCGGCCTGGGGAATTTAACAAGGTCTCAAAATAAAACCTAGGGGCATAGCTCAGTACTTGCTGGTTTCACCATCCACCTTACAAGAAAAAAAAAAAAAACTCCAGACCCTGCCAAATATCCTCAGAGCATAAGTCATTGAAACTGATTTTTTTTTTTTTTCTTTTTGAGACAGGGTCTCACTACAGTTCAGAGCTCCCTTTGTAGCCCAGGCTGGCCTCGAACTAGCAACGATGCTCCTGCCTCAGCCTCCTGAGTGCTCAGATTACAGGCGTGCAGCACCACTCTTGGTTTTTTGTTTTTTTTTTCCTTGCATGCCGTGCTGTGCTTGAACCCAGGGCTTCTCGCATGCTGAGCAAGCACTCCCACAGCTGTGCTACTCGGGCCTTCGGCCTACTGATGAACCTCAGTGTGCCTCACAGTTCCATTTTGCATTCTTTGGTGGTGTGGGGAGTTGAACCCACTGGCCTTTCACATGCCGGACAAGGGCTCCACCTCTGAGATACATCCTAGTGTGCGCAACACTCTGCAGACCCATTTAAGTTATGTGAAAGCAGTGAGAGCTAGAACTTCAGCGCCTCCCAGTCCCACGGCTCTTGTCTGCTGGCTGATGCTAAATCCGCAGATACTCACTGGTTCAAATTCTGTCCTTGTTTCGGGGCTCAGGTGAAGTATTGCCAACCTGTAACATTTCGGAGCAGCATATATACACACTGTCACTCACTTGACATCCGTACTGCTGTTAGAGAGCCCAAGTGTGTCAGCAGGGTTTTTTGTCTGTTTATTGTGTATTGATTGATTGTTTTTTGCTCTTATGAGACAGGTTCTTGCTGTGTAGTTCAGGCTGGCCTTGAGCTCACTTTGTAGTCCAGGCTAGTGTGGAACTCGCAATGAACCTCCTGCCTCAGCCTCCCAAGTGCTGGGATTACAAGTGTGCGCCACCAGGCCCGGCAGCAGTTCTTAAGTCATAACCTCAGCGGCAGGAACTGCACCTGTATTTCCCCAGTGTCTAACACATTCCTGTCTCCAGCTCACTCGGTGTGTTTCTGTTAATCATGCGTAGAAGGAGGTGTAGTCCGCTCAGGGGAATGGGTGGACTAGTCTTTACATCAGGACTAGTCTTTTCTGTCCTAGTCCTTACATCTTTCATAAAACTGGCATCCAGTTCAGTCTTGCCCCTTCGTCTTTCTGCAATCACATATGGCAAGGAGGCAGCGGAGTTCCCAGGCAAGTTCCTCCTCACATGCCCATATTCCTGCCTTCTGCAGTGTCCAGGCAGCGGGGCGATGCTGGTGTCCTGTCCTCCATCCCGCACCATTCCTGGTGCAGCTGCTCTCTTCATGCAGGAGAGAAAGGCAGCAAGAAGCATGCGGGATTGAGTGAGGGTAATGGGGAAGGAAAGGAGGACAGTAAACGGGTCCAGAACGTGAGGAGACAGCACGATTCCATTTCCATCCTCGTTCTTTGGTGACTTCATCGTGCTTGAGATATACACAGTAAATACATGTTGAGTACGCAAGGATATTCACTCATGCAGGAGGAAATTAATGTGATTTTTTTTGGCTCACTTTTGAGATAGGGTCTATGGGCTGGGTGTGGTGGCACATGCCTGTAATCCCAGCACTCGGGAGGCTGAAGCAGGAGGATCATTGCAAGTTCGAGCCCACCCTGGGCTACAAAGTGAGCTCAAGGTCAGCCTGAACTGCATAGAAAAAAAAAAAAGTCTATGTAGCCCCGCTGACCTCAACTCACAGCAACCTTCGTGCCTCAGCCTCCCGAAGTCAGATTATAGGCGAGTGCTACCTCACCCAGCTGTGACTGTTTTTTCTAAGGGTTCTTTATGATTTTGGACGGAGGATGTAGCGCAGGGGAACAGCGCTTGCCCAGCGTGCATAACTCCGAGTTTCATCGGTAGCATCAAAAAAAAAGAATTTTGTCCTTGCTTCGGCAGCACATGTACTAAAAACAAAGGTTTTTTATAAACTCCATCTTACTAAATATACAAATTATTTTTCTTTAGTACTGTTTTTGTCCGTCTTATTTTATCGGAGCTGGGGATTGAACCCAGGCCTCATGGGAGCGGAGCGCAGGGCCCCTCCCCCAGCTCCTCCCAGCCACCACAAAGTGAGTGTCGCGAAGATCACTGCAACGTTTTCCTTAGTACCATTTTGTCAACTTTAAATATTTTAATCCATTATGAATGGATGGTTTGTACATTAGAGTACACTTTGAAAGAATCACTTTTTTCACTGACCTATGCCTCGCCTCTGAAGCGCCAAATTGTGTGGAATTTACCGAAACATGATTTGGGCTGCTTTCGCCACCTGCTGGACATGCTGTGCTACTGGCTTTTAGGTCTTATTCTCAACCAAGAATGTCCATCCAGGACTCGAACTGGACTTCAGTTTATTTTTAAGTTTTAGTTAGTTTTTTGTTTTTGTTTTTTCTGGTACCGGGAATCGAACTCACGACCTCTCACTTGCCACGCAGGCTCTGTGCCGCAGAGCTAAATCCCCAGCCCCAATTTTTTGACACAGGGTTTCGCTATATTATAGTTCAGGGAGGTCTGGCAGGTCTTGATCTCGCTATGTAGCTCAGGCTGGCCTTGAACTCCTGGCGAACCTCCTGCCTCAGCCTCCTGAATGCTGGGAACACACGAGTGTGGTAACAAGACCGCATTCGGCTTGTTTGTTTGCTTGTTTGCAGTACTGGAAATTGAACCCAGGGCCTTATTCATGCTGGGGAATTGTTCTACACTACTAAGCTATATCCTCAGTCCCTTTTTATTTTATTTTATTTATTTTATTTATTTATTTGTTTATTTATTTTTGGTTTTTCTCCGGTACCGAGAATTGAACTCACGACCCTGTGCTTGCCAGGCAGGCGCTGTGCCGCTGAGCTAAATCCCCAGCCCCTTATTTTTTATTTAAAAAAAAATTTTTTTTGGTACTGAGAATCAAACTCAGGACCTTGCACTTACCAAGCAAGTGCTGTGCCACTGAACTCTAATCCCCGACCCTATTTCTTATTTTTCCTAATTTTGAGATAGGATCTCTCTAATCTGCCCAGAGGGGCCTTGAACTGTGCCTCAGCCTCCTCGTGGCTGGGATTACAGGCCCGTGGTACTGTGCCTCATATTTTTTCTGTTTTTTTGTTTGCTTGCTTTTCTTTTTGCGGGTATCAGGAATCAAACTCAGGACCTTGCACTTGACAGGCGGGCACTGTGACGCTGGGCTACATTCTCAAGGCCAGTCTGGGCTTCAGCTAGAGTTTAAAACCAACCTCAACTACATAGTGAGACTTTGTCTCCAAAAAAAAAATAAAATGTTGAGAAAGGAGAGAGCAAGAGGATAGACACAGAATGGGTGTGAGCAAATCCCAATATCCACGTGTGGAAATGTCACAGCGAAAACCATTACTGTGCACAATTAACATGCTTTAATAATTAAATAAAAAATGTCGGCTGGGTGTGGTGGCACACACCTGTAATACCAGCTGTGTAGGAGGATGAGACAGGAGGGTCTGGAGCTTGAGGCTGGCCAAAGCAAAATAGCAAGACTTATCTGAAAAATAAATAAATAAATAAATAAATAAATAAATAAATAAATAAAAGAAGAAGTCATGACAGTTTTGCTCTTACACAAAAACTGTTATGATGATTATAGAGTCTCACTATGCAGTTCA